ACTGATCAACATTTGAGCAGCTCACAGTGTAACATGTAACAAAGCCATACATTTCAGAAAATGGGGGAGAACATTTTGGGCCCAAGGTCTAAATGTTTCCCAGACCAAACAAACTCCATTCGGTACGGCTAAATTAGGGAAAAAAAAATAGCACTAGTCCCATTCCGTAGACCTGCCCTCATACTTGTTATCTGCCTAGCTCAAAATCACGAAGAAAACTGTGAGCAGAGGTGCACTTAGGAGTATAACAGCCATTCACTTACCTTCTCCATTTGAACCTGCCCGTATGCAAACTTTGGTGTTGTTGGGGGGATAGGACCCTCAGGTAATCTTTTATACTAGGAAGAAAAAAAGACTATATGAAACTTAAAAATGCAATGCATTTTAAACAAATATTTTATAATGTAGGAGGAATAAAGTCCCCAAACTAAAGATAGACTGGACAAAAGGTAGATGTTTTTCATGGAGTCTTGGGAGGACAGAACTTAACAGCAGGTCAAGAAGTGTTCAAAATCCACCTGATCTGACTGCATATACTGAAATGATTTTAGCAGAAATTCAACTTTTGAGATTTTCTGTTATCTTGTATTTGCCAGTATTGGGTAGTGACGGCATTCTTCAAAAACCTAAGCCCCCCTTGTGGCCAGGCCTGGTATAGCTCTCCCTGTGTCTTTTGGCATTTATAGACTTGCTACAGGAGGCAGGGGGGGATTTAATTAGCACAGCCCTGAGAGCCACACTAATTCAAGCACCCACAGCATCATGTGTATCACCATCCCCGCACTGAAAAATAGCAGCAGGGAACTTTGAACTAAAACTTGTTGAACCAGCTTCAGTTTAAAGCTCCCCACGGCCATTTTTCAGCACGGGGACACTGATACACATGGCACTGGAGCCTGCTAGAGTGTGGTAATTACTATGCTCCAGCACACTCGATTAATCAAGTCTGCTCCAACGCTCTGCAATTACAGCATGTCAGAGCAACCTCCCTGCACATGTATAAGAGCACTTTGTATCTATTGGCTTACGGGGTCATACCCCTAAAACAAACAAACAAAATACTAAAATAATAATAATAATTGCAAGGGGGGGAAGAGTAAGATCACATAGATATGCATATGTTACATTTCTTTTAAAAATACTGTTTTATGTAACAGGCCTTTAGATCCTATATCGCCTTTCTAAACCTCAACTACTTGAGTTACAGAATGGTTAAAAATGATTTGGAGCTTTAAATTGCCATTTTCAAGTACAAAGAGAAGAAGCAGTGAACTAAAATATTTCTGCTGAAGTTTTCAAAACCAACTTATATTCAACCTTGAGAAGAAACCAAATGCAGAAACACTTAGCCCAAAAAATTGGAGGGGGGTGTGTGTGAAGCTACAAACAAGTTAAAGACCCTTTAGGGTAGGGACAGACATTCAAAAAGCTGGAGCCTGAATTCATAGAAATCAATGAGTCAGAAGGGACCTAAACAGATCTTTGAGTCTGACCCCCTGCTATGGGCAGGAATGAGCACTGGGGATGGGAGGGCTCATAAGACCCCAGCCAGATGCCCATCCAGTCTCCTCTTGAAGATTTCCAGGGAAGATGAGAGCACCACCTCTCCGGCAAGCCTATTCCAGGCTCTGGCCACCCTTACCGTGAAGCAGTTCTTCCTAATATCTAACCTAAACCTAACCTCACCTCCCTCAGCTTGTGGCCATTGTTCCTGGTGACTCCAAGGGGGGCCCTGGTGAACACACTTTCCCCGAGTCCCTGCTGGTGGCCCCTGATAAGGTTGTAGGCAGCCACAAAATCCCCCCTCAGTCTCCTCTTGTGGAGACTGAAGAGATTCACGTCCCTCAGCCTCTCCTCATAGGGCTGGCCACGGAGGCCCTCAACCATACGAGTGGCCCTCCTCTGGACCCTCTCCAGGTTCTCCACATCCCTCTTGAAGTGCGGTGCCCAGAACTGGACACAGTACTCTAGCTGCAGCCTGACCAGCACCGCATAGAGGGGGAGCAAGACCTCTCTGGACCTGTTAGTGATGCCCCTGCCGATGCATGACAGGGTGCAGTTGGCTCTGCCTATTGCTTAGTTGCACTGGTGACTCATATTGATCCTGGAGTCAGTCCTGACTCCAAGATCCCTCTCTGCCTCTGTGCTGCTGAGAGGGTCA